AAAACTCTTCTTTAAGATTATATTGCTATTATTTAGTTTCTCCTTTACAATTTTTATAATATAGAAGAATGACCTGAGAGAAAATACATAATAGATTCAAAGCATCATCATTGATTTTAAGTGTAGGATTGTGAATTGTAATCTTAAAACATAGAGATATAAGTATGTGCTTATTCAATAAATGGAATACAGAGACCTGCATTTTGTTCTGTTTATTATGGTACAATCTGTTAATCATTTACTGTTATCTTGAGACTGCAATCTGAAGGAATCATTCAAAAGCCCTTTCATAACTGACATTCCCTCCTTTCAACTTTTGTAACTTTTCTACACAGGAGTATTTTCAAACTCATACATCTCCTGGACTTCAAGTTGGAAAGTTTTTCATTATGTCCAGAGAAATTATGTTCCCTATAAAAACAAACCAATGTAGGGCTAGGAATTTAGCACAGTGGTTCTGCAGCCTGCCTCGCAAGTGCAAGGCCCCAGTTCAATCCCCAGTTTCAGACAAACAAACAAACAAACAACATACCAATGTAAACTTTTTCAATAATGTCTTCAAACCATTTCACAACGCCTCCTTTATCCTGACATTTCACGCCCTGAATACAAGTTGATAGCTTAATCTACATTTGGTTTGAGCATCTTTTATGCTTTAATAAAATGTCTAAACTCTCACTTTTACATGACACAAACCAAGAATATGAAAGGGAATTGCACAGTTCCATTGACATTCATGGATGGTGATTATTTTGGATGGTTTTATGTGCCAACGGAAAGGAGAACATGAAGCAGAACAAGATGACAAAGATCATTGCTTTTTCAAAGGTCAGCAAGTGAGAGAGCTAGAGACTGAAGGCTGCCAATTTAAGCAGGTCCACTTTGATGCTTGAGCGCTATGGAATTTGATCCAATGGGGCTTTTCCACTTGCTTTTGTTAAATCACTTAGTGTCTGAATTTAAGTAAGTCAGGGTTGAATAGCTTAAAGGAAAACTAGAACTCATCAGCTGATTTATTTTTGTTAAAGATTGGAAAGGGCAATGACATTGATGAAAGCAATGGCATCACCAATAATAGCTAATACTGCACGACAGTGTTTTAAATTCTAATTTAATTAACTATATAAGATCTTCTAGTAACAAGAAGATGGAATTTATCTAGAAATACCTCTGTAATTTTTTCTATCACTCATATCCCCAGTATAATATGGAACACTAAAGATTAAATAAATCAAATATACTCACTAATTGCAAAGTAATGGGCTGTTTGAAATACCTTCATTTATATGGTTACTTAAAAGGAATACAATGAAGAGTACAGAACTCTGTATTGTGGCTTTGACATCAACACAAATGAACTGACTGGCTCTTCAAATTTGCTTGCATGGTACAAAGAATATGAAATTAAATGATATGTGTTTCATTTCTGGTTGCATTTTTACAGTTGTGTATTTTAGCAAAAAAGTAATTTAGTCAATAATATGTTCATATTTTCAAATTAAATCTTTTTCAAATTAAATCTTATTCAAATTTGAAAAGTAAATACAATGTCAATTTTTATTAGTATATGTTTGTAATACACAATGAATATATTTATTGTGGGATATGGTTACATATACATATTCCATTTTAATCCTTTTTTATTCCTCTTTTCTCCTCTCCTAGCCTCAAATCCCCTTACCCTCCAGAAAGTCTATAATCTCAGTCTGATTCCTTTAAGTATTTTCTGCAATGCTAGTTTAGTGATCATATAGTTATTTTGCATTTCTTTGCCATGGAAAATCTTTACTTCTCTGGCTATTTTGAAGGCTAATTTTGCAGGATACAGAAGTCTGGGTTGACATTTGTTTTCTTTTATGGGTTGAAATACTTTTCTCTAAAGTCTCCTGGTCTTTAAGATTTGTGTTGAGGAATCTGCTATTATTCTGATATGTTTTCCTTCATAGGTTACTTTCTGTTTTTTCTCTAACAGCCTTTAGTATTCTTTCCTTTGGTTGTTTTTCTGGAATTTTTACTATGATATGTCATGGAGAGGTTCTTTTCCGGTAATGACTATTTGGGGTTCTCTACTGCTTTTGTACATGACTATTAAATTCTCTTTCCCTACATTTGCAAAATTTTCTGCTCTAATTTCAGTGAATAGATTTTTATACCTTTTGAATGATCATCTAATTATTTTTAATTTTTATTTTAATTTTTCCTTCATTATAATTCTGTGTTGTTGTGGATTTTTTTTTGTCATGTAACAAACAGATGTTGGATTCACCTTTTGCAATATCTTGCCCCATTTTCTATGGTATTTTGTTGGCAAGGATCTACTACATCTACCTTGTCTTCAATTTTTGACACTCTGTTCTCACATTGCTTAAGTTTGCTACCCATGCTTATTATTGAATATTTTTATATCTTGTATTTCTCTTTTCTTTCTCTTTATAACTTCTACTTCTTTACTAAATGGTTATTTATGTCTTCCATTGTCTTATTTAACTCAATTAGTTTACTCTTTCATTTTTAAGCTTGTTCAGCATTTTATTAGTAAAATCCTATATCTGTTTAATTAAATCATCTGAGCTCATTAAACATCTTATATAACTTGCTTGTGTGTTTTTTCTTCAATCTTTTCAAATATTTTGGCCATTTGGATTGAGTTCTTTGCCTGTAACTTCCTCTTTTTCAATATCCATGAGATCAGCTTTTAAATAGTTAAGGGATTTTGGAGGGATTTTATTGCCTTAATTTCTCATATTTCTAATGTTATTGTGTTGCAGGCTGATGATTGGTTAGGATGGTAAAACTCTATCACTACTGTTTACATTCCATCTCCCTGTGATATGTACTTGAGTCTGGTCATGTTTTGCTGTTTATACCTAACCTACTCAACATAATACTTAAGAATCTTCTTAGTCCTCACATTTCTTCTGGGGCTTGATTGCCAGCACCACTCAGAGAGGAAATTTTAAAAAAAACTCACAGTATTGCTGAAGACAGAAAGACAAAGCAGATATCAGTACACAGTCAATATCAATTGATAGCAACAACTATGTCATCATTCACAATAGAATAGAAATCAGGAATAATAATACAGTCAAAGACAAACTGGATATTGACATATCATAAGAACCAATAAAAGCTACAACTGTACATCCTTTAACAATACAAAAGAGATCTGCAAAAAATATTATGGACATAAAGACAAAAGATTGTCATACATTAAATATCTATGTAGTAAAACCACAGTTCACAATATAAAAGAATTCGGCAATAATGCCATAGTGTCCACAAAAAAACTAAGAATAAATAAAGCTTAGTAGTAATAATAACATAAAAAAAGGGAGTGGGAAAGGAAAAAATAAAAGAAGTACAACTTGAAAAAGAAAATAAGAAAGAGGAAGGGACAAAAGAGATAAAAAAGCTAGTTCAAGAATAAAATAAATTTAAAAGAATTAAATAAAATTACCAGGAGAAAAAAAAGAAAAGAAAAATTTACAAAAGAATTTAAAAAAGAGCAAAAGAAAGGAAAATAGAACTTTTAAAAACAAAGAAAAAGAAAAATGCGTTTCAGATCAATGTTTTAGCACTGGATTCCACCAGACATGGGGAGTGAGTCACAGCTGAGGCTTATTTTGCATGCATGCCCACGTTTTGCTGTGTGAATGCTGAGTCCTGCCTTGACTTTCCTACTGCGTGGGATTAGTCAATGGTGCGGTGTCTGCCTTATGGCTGTCTGCACTCCAGTGGCTCTTAGTGCTTGTGCTCCTCTCTATAGCTGCTATCTCTGACTAGCTTTGTGGTTTATGGGACTGTTAGATGCCCTTCTTGCTCCAGAGGCCCTTCTATCTGTACATCCTGGGATTTGGCAACTGTCCAAGTCAAGTTATATCCCTGATCATGTTGGCAGATCAGGACAGCAAACAGACCACTAGGCTTTTTGTAGAAAGTAGGCAGGGAAGGAGGCTACACAGTCTACTAGACATAATGCCCCATTTTCATACCCAGCTTTCACAAAATCACACCTGATTGGTCTGGCTTCTCACCACAGAGGACAGGATCACTGTGTCCTTTGCAGACTAAGTGGACTGCTCCTTAAAGTTAGCAGGGGCCTATGTCTGGCCCGCCCCGACTCTGCAACTGTTTCTTGTAGCTGTCACCCCCTGTCCCTGTCCCTGTGTTAGAGTGACCCCAGAAACTCTAGTGTGACTTCTGTGACTTCTGATTCCCAGAACAGCTCAGTCTTAAACAATAAACACCTTCTCTAAAGGGCTTTTGGTTTCTCAAGGATGGATAATCCTACAGTGAATTGTTTCTCCAACTCTAGTCTGCCATGTGAAAAGAGTCACTTTCAGAATAAAACCCTACACTGTATCCATGCCATTTACAATAACAGTGGCCTTTTCTTGGGTTAGCACTGCTCTTGCTTTGTCTACCCCTGAGGCTCCCTCTCTGCATTTGTGGAACCTGTTCCCACTTTCCAGGAGCCATGGTTAGCATTCCAGATGGCATTGTTCTTCTCTCTGCATTCTCTTCAATTTGTCTAACGTTTCTGCAATTTCCAGTGTTCCTGTTGGCTCTTTTTGATTCCCTGAGCTCCTCTTCTTTTTTCTTTGATTGTTGTTTTCGAGGTGTCTGGACTCCAGGTAGCAAAGAGGCAGTGATTTGCTGCCAGTCTTTACAATGCCATCTTTGAATCTCTCATATTATTATCATATCTTCATTTTAAAACAGTTTCAGACATGGAAATATGTTCTTTCTGTGCTGTGAATAGCTCTTGTATATCCTTTACCCATTTGTTCTGAATATGCAATTTTAAATAATCATACTACAATTTTTATAAGTAGGAAATTGACTTGTAAAGTACTTTTAACTAATCTATAGGCCTTACTTAAATTGTACCAGTTGTCTGAAGAGTATATGTATGCTGGTCCAGTAACACACATATCATTTGTTTGTCATATCTTCTTAGCTTCTTCCAATCTGAGACAGTTCACAGCCTTTCTTTATCTTTAACGACTTGATACTTCAGAAGTGTTATTTTGCAACTTTAGTTTGTCTGACGTTGCTTCTGGAAGTTATGCATTTTGAGCAAGAATGTTACAAATGTAATGTTATATCCTTATTACATCACTGACTATGTAATGTTGATGTTTCCCATTGATAATGCTATGATCATTTTGATAAGATGATGGTGGACAGTTATTTCAACTGTAAAATTTTTTAAATGCTGTTTTTGTCTTTAAAACAAAACTTCTGTTCTAGGTAATTATTCTTTTTATCATTCAAATTGTCATATAATTTCATCATTCATTGACGATTCAAGTTGTTTAGCATTTATTCTTATTGTAAAGTTGGGAGTGGTAGTTTTTCCTGCTTTGTCTCTAAGCTGAACTTAGAAGTTCAAAGGCAAACAGCTTTAACAGGAAAATTATGTGCATTACATTCCATAAATCTGTTGCTAGGACATTTAGAGATGTACTATGGGACTTAGTTATAATAAATAAAATATATTTGATTTCATATAGTGAATCTATGAAAATTATATGATAATATATATTTATATGTAATACATATGTATTATCATTTATCTAAAAATATAATATTGGGTCCAAGACAATTGTCCCAAATTCTTTCTATATAAAACTCCTTCTATTTATGAATCTTCTTTCTACACGTTATTGTTGAGAAATAATATATTTTTTGTAAGAACACAAATGCAGTGGCAAGTCCATCAATATTGATTAATCTTGAGTTGCCTTTAACACTTGCAGTCTCATCCTCTCAAATTAAAAATAATCACAGTATCAGAATTCTTCACTCTGAATAGTTTTCTTTCTGTCCCTTCTTACCTCGGAAATACGTAGCCTTAGTAATCCTCACAGTTCATTTTTTAAGAAGGTGGTCATACCAACTGAAGGTAATTAATAACCATTTATAACGATGGTTTTATAGTAGCTGAGGCATCAATAAGTACAGTTTCTTTGTTAACTCAAAATCATTATTGGAGTTCTAAATTTCTATTATTCTTATTTGGTATCTATGAATTTTATAAAAATGATCAATTTTATGTAAAATTTTATTTCATACTGTGGAATTTGGTGCTTGAACTATTTAAGTAGATAACAAAATGCCAGAAATGTTATGCATATAACACTACCTAGAAATATTCCTGTTCTAATATACTTTAGCATCTTACTTCAGATTTTTCTGAGCTTCCTCAAGGTGAATGCTTATAGACAGATACTCCTTGCGGGCTAAGGCTCATAAAAGATAAGTTGTAACAAGTAGAACAGATGTAGAAACTTGGAGGAGGGAAAGAGATGGGGAGAACAGAACACTATCTGAGGAGGTCAGACTGTGAGACTTTAACAGGAAGATAAATTTGCCTTTTTCATAGCTTTTTCTCAAATTAGTTCAGCTAATTGGTCAGTGACATGGACATTGCTGTGTTTTTTAATCATGAACTTAGAAATGTTGAAGGGAGATGAATATACATTATTTCCTTTGTAACTGCCCTCCTATTATTTTCCTGTTCAGAATTACCTCTAAGCCCCAGGATATATATCTGGTGTCAATTTTGACTCTCTGTCTATGTGTCCACTTCTAGTCATACCTATATGTATGATTTCTGGGCCAGGATGTGCTATGTCCAATGACTTTGCACACTTTCACTCTTTATCATACTGAACATATTATATAAGGTAGGCTGGAGAATATGTAGAGTTGGATACAATGAAGAGTTATTTTACTACAGATGGAAATGGTGGTTATTTGATTTACAAAAATTCTTATTTTTCTACATTATAAATGTAGACCAGGGCTTTGTTGAAGAATTCCTAGGAAAAAATCAGTAAAACGATCATCAAAGTAACAGAAACACATATTTTTAGATCACTATTCTTCATTGTACATAAGTGAAATATTGAAACATAAACAATTAACAAAGTCTGTTAATATGTCACTTTTATACTAAAGGAATTTGTAGATCTCTATTATTATAAATTTAGAAAACAAAAATTGTTATAAAATATTATTAAATCATAATTATACTGCTGTGTATGTAATATGTTTTCTACATTCCCTTTAATGGTAGAATGCAGATCTCTTCTCAAAATACATAAAATGCATTGGTTCATATTAGCAAAATATATATGTACATATTTGGTGATTTTCAATGTGAAAATAAATTATATTACTTTAAGAATTTGAATTTTTTTAAGGAAAAGCAGTACAATGCTCATTTTTTTCTTCCCCCCCCCATTAACTTTATTGGTACATTTTAGGTATACAATACAGTTACATTAATCATTGGGATCTTGTACCATTACATGAGTATCTTGGTTCTCACTTTTTTTTCCCCTTCCCTTGCCCTCCCTTCACCCCCTCCACCCTTCCCTATTTGCAAAGACCTTGTTTCCATTTTTTTCCTCTTCTCATATTTTTTCCTTTCCCTTTTTTCCTTTCCCCTATCCCTCCCAATTCCCCTGCTCTTTTAGACCTTTTCTTCCTGTTACACAATATCAGTTATACATTTTTTAAATTACAATATTAAGATCTAGGAGACATTACCACAGATTTTACAGAATTTAAAAGGATATAGAAAGCATATTACAAAAATCTTTTTTGAAATAAATTTGACAACTTCTAAGAAGTAACTTAGAAGACAATTTAATGAAACTAACTCTAGAGGAAATATAAAATTTGAATAGCACCTATTAAAGAAAGTATATTCCTAGGCCTCTGAAGCTCTAGAGTATTGTCTGAGTTCCATGGCCAGGTGCCACCTTCCTTGCAGTATGCTTCAGATGATTCTAGGACAGTAAAACAAGCAACAGGGCAATAATGCACATACAATAATAGAACCAGCAACCAAGTTGAGGCAGCAAAAAGAAAGTTTGAGCTCAAGCACCTGCGAGTCAGTTGTGTAATGTGACAGATACACCTTCACTCTGAAGTTTCTAAAAGATATTACTTGTCTGCATTTTAAAATGAATACAAGAAAAAACTTGAAGCGATTATTTTGTTATTTTTACCTATTTCCATTTATGAGAAATACTATATAAATATGCACACATTTAATATGTATTTTACTTATATCTAATAAAATATATTTATAGAACAATTTTGGGTTCAACATGAAATTGGGAGGAAAGGACAAAGATTTCCTGTGTGTCCCCTACCGCTGCACATGTATAGCCTGCTCCATTATCAGTACATTCCACCATAGTGGAACATTGGTTAAAATTGATGAACACACACTGACACATGTAATTTGCATAACAGCCATGCTAAACTATTATTAAAAAGTAGACAATGTTTATATATGAGGAAACTGATATTTAAAGATGGCCAGGTTAAGAAGATAATAAAAGGCAGAGAAAAATTGAACTAAAGTCTTCTTTTTCTCAAAATTTCGACAAGTATTGTGATGGACACTTGTAATCTCAACATTCAGGAGGCTGAGGCAGGAGGATAGCCACAAGTTTGAGGCCAACCTGTACCATATACTGAGATCCTGTCTCAAAAAGAGAAAAAAGCATTTCATTTTCACAGCACAGTGTCCAGTAACCTCTATATATTTGTGTAGTGCATTTATTTTTTTATGATTTAATTTCTATTTATTATAATAGTAAAACAAAAAACCACAAAAAGCCAAAAGTAACAAGAACCTGAAGCATATCTCCGTATCACCTCCAGATGTTGTCATATTCCTATCCTCCTCCTCTGTGATTCTCTTGCTTTGCTTCATTGTGTTCCTTGGTTTGGCAAATGCAAGACTAAGGCATGAAGCACCACCCTCAACCCCATCCTCCCGGTGTTTCTTAAACAGCCGCATATTGGGGAAGACTTGGCAGCAGACCATGCACCTAAAGCCACTATACGGATCCTCCAGCACCGAACCCTGGGCCAGATGCTCAGGTGGCTTCTCAGCCTCTTCCCTTTCCTCTTGGCCTTCCCCGTGCAAGCCATTTTCACTGTCAGTTAGGACGTCTCTTAGGCACATATGAGAGAGGCTGGCTTTTGAAGGGATCTTCTCAGGAAAGGTAATTTTTGCTCTTCTTGTCATCTTTGTGAGGGGCTCCAAATCTTCTTCTGTATCCCCCAAGGAAGCCATACCCCTTTTCATTGGGACAGGCTTATGGTAAACCTTCAGGACTCTTTTCTTTTCAGTAGATGTTGCAGACTTTGAAGGGTTACTGGCCAAGGAGGAAGGCAAATGGGAATGTTCCATGAAGGAGAAATTCTCGCTCTCCATCAAATCTTGATTTTAAAGCCTCTGGGTGGATCCAGGACCATCCTGGTCCACAGGAATGCACTTGCTTGAAGAAGGAATGCAGGGCAAATGTTCTGAGACTGAGAAATTCTCTGCTGCATCCAGATTTGAACTTGGGACCATCTCATGTGTCTCAGCAGCATCCTCTGGAGAGTTGTGCAGTTCTGCATCCAAGAATTTGTCTTCATAGGAGAAGTGCACTGAGGTTGAGGAAGAACTGTCTGCCACTTTGCGGCCTTGAGTTTGGGCCAGTACCTTGGCTCTACCCTGCAGAACATCTTGTAAATCCAACTTTCTTCTTGTACCCTTGACTTCTTCACAGGTCTTTTGAAGAGTTTCTTCTCCTGGTGTTTTTTCTTCTTTTTATGTTTCATTGCTCAACTCTTTGCAGAATTGTTGATATCAAGTAAGAGTCTGAGACTGTTCTCAGAGAATTATTAGTAATGATAAGAAATTAAATGTATACACCAAAAAAA